ATGCTTAAATAGATGTTGGTTTTGTTTTATAGTAGGTAAATGTTGGTTTTGTATTTGGGCAGGTAAGTGTTGTTGGTTTTGGAAAATGGTAGACTAATGTTGTATGATGCTATTATGTAATGGAAATGACAGTTTGATGTTCTTTAAGGGGCATTTTCTTTTATAAAGTTGTATATGGTTCATTAAATTCTTTAAGCTTCATTTTGTTTCCATGATAACAACCAATAGTAACAACCAACTGATTCAAGTTTTTTAAGCTTCATTTTTGTATATGATTCTCCATCATTTTGTTTCTATGATAACAACCAATAGTAACAGCAACAAAATCAAGTACAAAAGGAAAGAAAGATAAAAATAGATATTCCACTTCAAACTAATATCCATTATATCCAGCACACAACATTCTTAGAGTTAACAGTTATAGATCAATCAAAATAGATCTTCCACACACCAAATACAATTCTTATCCCAAATTCATACTTCAAAATACCAAGTACACTGCAAAAGGTACACCAATTCAAAATAGGTCTCAAAATCAAGTCCACAACTACTTCAATCCATAACCAGACACAACTACTTAGCCACACTCTCTTGAGTGCCTAAAACAGAACAATCTTGATTTTTTGATCGACTCCTGGTACTAGGACTACCAACAGAGTTCTTGGATTGACTTCTGGTAGTGGGACCATTAACAGGGTTCACCAAGTGCACTCTTTTGTCACTTGACATCTGCAAATATAGAATATACATTAGCATTTAACTTAAGTGAATTGGACACAACATATCTATTAAGAAGAAGTAAATAATAGCTAACCCTCATGTAAATCGATCCTGTCTCTTCAGAAACAAACACACCGTATCCCTTCCTTGCCTGAAATAAAATATAAACATAAATATAGGGAATCAATATATAAGTCATTTTATTTTAATCAGTTTAAATATACCAGTGCTCTATCTTTCATTGTTTGAGCTTTGTGGATTTCATTTTCTTGGATTCCAGTTCCTCTGGAGGGATTTTTCCTCTTTCTTCCTCTTGTTGGAGGAGGTGCAGTGAAGTGGCTATTGTCTTGTGTGGGAGGAGGTGCAGTGAAGTGGCTACTGTCTTGTGTGGGAGGAGGTGCAGTGAAGTGGCTACTGTCTTGTGTGGGAGGAGGTGCAGTGAAGTGGCTACTGCCTTGTGTTGGAGGGACAGATGGAATATTCTCAGACCCACTAGGCAATTCATGTATCCTTGGTCTACCTCTCTTTGCCTAACAAAGGAGAAAGTGTAAACAATTTATTAACATACACAAAAAGACAATGAACAACATAAAATGCACAATATACCTTCTGAGGCTTGGGTGCAGCTTCATTTTTGCAGCTTCTCTTGTTGT